AGCTCATTAGTAGGCTGTTTCAGTGGTTGTACCCATCAAGGTCTTGACCTCTTTGCTTATATTCTCATTCCTCCCACTCTTTAGCTGGATTTTGGGAGCTAAGTCCAGTGCTCTGATGTGGAAACCCAGACTCTTGTAGTAAAATAAACAAATAAATAAACCCATGGTATTGTCTATTGAGAAGGAATAAGTTGACTTGATTAACCTGAAAGATACTGTTAAGAGGAAATTTAATGTTGACTTGTTGACTTTTATTTTTTTTTTCTTAAACAGTTAAAGTTTTTACATGTTTGGTAAGTGAGAAAACCAAGTTACATACCTCTGATAACATCTGTTTTCTTAACCTGCTAAATAAGGTGTAATGGAAAGAAATGTGACCCTGCCTTATGGGGACGCAGTTTGTACATATCTCCCCATGCCATATAGCCCCAAATACTTGGCACCTTCCTGAACTCTACACCAGCAAAACAGGATGGAAAATGTCAGAAAATTCTCTTCAAAACGCTGCCACTTCCCACAGGAACAGTCTTCCCATGCTAGCCAGAACCTTCTCCAGGCCATCTGCAGAACTCTCAGCAGCCAGCCTGCCAGGAAGCCTCCCTCACTTGGGTCTCATGTGTGACTTGGAACAGGCTTCACAAGATTCCATTAGCAGGTTTTTTTTTATTTATTTTTATTTTGCCTCTAACCCACAAATTGCACATCAGCAGTAAGAAGTGGCCTATGGTGAGCCTACCAATGTTGCAAGATTCTGAACATCACAGAGTGGCACTTTTTGGCAAGAAAAACCCTGAGATAATTGAGGAGAGAAAATGAAAGCTCAATCAGCTAGAGAAGAGGGGCGGGAGTGAGGGGATGCAGAGCGTTTGCTGATATGGATGCTAAAGAACTGTGGGTGTGCAGTAAAAAATACCAATAGACCAGGGATACATAAATAAGGTGAGAGAGTGGGGGGGGATTGGAGAAAGACGACTTAATTGTTAAAAATTACATTTACTTATTTTCTTAAACAGTACAATTTCTAACTGTATTCTAAATACTTATCTGATGTGGGATTCCCTTCTGTATGCTGTGAATATGTTTTACTACCTTTGGTTAATAAAGAAGCTGTTTAGGCCAATGACTTTGTAGAGTAAAGCCAGGTGGGAAATTTGAACAGAGATATATAGAGAGACTAGGCAGTCAGACAGACTTCATGTAGTTGCCAAAGGAGAAGGACATTGGAACCTTACTGTAAGCCACAGCCTCATGGTGATACATAGATTACTAAAAGTGGGTTAATTTAAGATGTAAGAGCTAGCTAGGAATATGCCTAAGCTATTGGCCAAGAAGTGTTGCAATTAATATAGTTTCTGTGTGGTTACTCGGGTCTGGGCAGCCGGAAAATGAGTGAGCAGTCTGTTTACACTTATCCTCATACCAACAGGTAAGTGTAGTTGTGACCCCACATCAAAGAAGCATCTTTTTGCAACAGATAGAGACAGTTGCAGAAATGCGCCTATGGTCAAAATGTGGAGAATAAATAACTGTTGGAGCTCAACTCCAACTTATAACATGTGTAACGCAGTCCCTACATTCAGGTAACACAGTAGAAGGTGGGACAGGATGGTTGTAAAACCCAGAAACTTAGGATGCCTGCTCCTAGATAGTGTGTCCCCTGGACATGAGAGAGTATGCACCCATGAAATCTTAACAACACGGTTGCATGGCAGCACCAGTGAACGTGTCAGTGTTCACAAAGGAAACTCCACACTAGTAGCCTCAATGCCAGATGAAAAGCTACATGTGGTCAACAGCTGCCGAGAGATGTGTGCTTTCTCCAGGGATAAACTTCTGTATTGGATGCCCAAACCCAACTGCTCAGCCCTGTTGTGACATTTTGTTTGTGTTCTGACAAAGAAAGCTTGCCTGGAAATCAGAGGTCTGGAGGTCTGCACAGACAGGAAATGACAACAGGGGGTGAAGAGAGGAAGTAATAAAGCAGAGGTAATAAGTGACAGGAGCTCAGCATTTCCAGTCTGGGGATTCGGAGAGGTAAGAAGTGACTATGGCTGCTCCTTTGCTTCTCTGATCTTTCAGATTTTTATTGGCAAGGCCATTAGGGTCATGCTTCACTGGACACATGTGTATATGAGCAATCCTAAACAGTCTGACTCAACAGGTTGTGTGCATATGTATATATGTGCAACAGAAAATAAAGAAAAGATCGTGATTCAGGAGAGACGGGGAACAAAAGGATCTGGGGAAGGAAAGGGTAGGAGTGATAGAGATGCAATGCTCATATATAAGCTTCTCAAAAAATTATTTAAGAAAATATTTTTCAATTTTATTTTAGGGCACCGTTCATTCCAGCACTTAGGAGGCAGAGACAAGGTGGATCTCTGTGAGTACGAAGCTGGCCTGATCTACAGAGTGCCAGAACAGGCTCCAAAGCTACAGAGAAACCCTGTCTCAAAAAATAAAAAATTCAAAATGATAGCCCTCTGTCTTCTACTTGTAACAGTCTGCTCTGAAAAATAATTGCAAGTATTTTTGGTAAAGGTTGAAAGATACAGGTGTAGCAAGCTTTCTTGAATGGCCAGTCCTCAAATCATGGCATAAAGATATTATCAGTTATGAATGCTTGGCTTTATCTTATGTTTATCCCACTAGCTCTTATAACTTAATTTAACCTGTTTCTCTATACTTTGCCTTGGGGCTTTTTACCTTTCTTACATTCTTTACATCCCACTTTCCTGCTTCCTCCAATGCTGATTGGCTGATAGCTGTCTGGCTGACCCGTCCCAGGTGCTCCTTCTTTTTCTCCCTCATTCTTTCCTTTCCAGCCTAGGTTCATCCTCCTAGATTCTTTCTCCTACTTATTCTCTCTGCTGTCCAGCCCTGCCTATTTCTCTACTGCCTAGCTATTGGCCATTCAGCTTTTATTTATTTATTTTTAATTTATTAAAGATTTCTGTCTCTTCCCCACCTCCGCCTCCCCTTTCCCTCCCCCTCCCCCTCCCCCAATCAAGTCCCCCCCCCCTCATCAGCCCAAAGAGCAATCAGGGTTCTCTGCCCTGTGGGAAGTCCAAGGACCACCCTCCTCCATCCAGGTCTTGTAAGGTGAGCATCCAGACTGCCTATGCTCCCACAAAGCGAGTACATGCAGTACGATCAAAAACCCATTGCCCATGTTCTTGAGGTCTCAGTAGCCCTCATTGTCCACTATGTTCAGTGAGACCTGTTTTAACCCAGGCTTTTTCAGACCCAGGCCAGCTGGCCTTGGTGAGTTCCCGATAGAACATCCCCTTTGTCTCAGTGTGTGGGTGCACCCCTCGCGGTCCTGAGTTCCTTGCTCGTGCTCGCTCTCCTTCTGCTCCTGATTTGGACCTTGAGATTTCAGTCCGGTGCTCCTATGTGGGTCTCTGTCTCTGTCTCCTTTCATCGCCTGATGAAGGTTAATATTCAGGAGGATGCCTATTTGTTTTTCTTTGGGTTCTCCTTCTTATTTAGCTTCGCTAAGAACCCGAATTATAGGCTCAATGTCCTTTATTTATGGCTACCATTCAGCTTTTATTATTAGCTTTTTTATTAGACCAATCAGGTGCCTTAGGCAAGCAAGGTAAAAGGCATCACATCTTTACATAAACAAATGCAACATGAACAAATGCAATACATCTTTTATATCTCACTAGTAAAGTAATCTTTAGAAAGAACACTTTTACATCAGGTCTACATAAAAGCTAAATGAAACTTTAAGTTACCAAGACCATCAAAAATATTCAGATATTCTAGGCAAGAAAGAAGGCTCAGGGGATAAAGGTGCTTGTTACGACATCTGATGGCCTGAGGTAGAGCTCCAGGACCAGCACAGTGAGAAGGGAGAACTAACTGCCAGAAGCTGCGCTATGACAACTATATGGGCACACGCACATTAAAATAAATAAATGTTTAAAGTTTTTTTTAACCAGTTGGGAATTAATGTTTAAAGTTTTTTTTTTTTTAATTCAGATATTCTTTCATTTTTTGAGCAAAGAAATGAAAATGAAATTTAGATCTAGGGCCTTAATACCTTGTACATCCCATTTAGCCATCAAAAGGTAGGTGTTGTAAGGAACTAATAAAATTATTGCTGCTTTTTTTGAAGACATTTGCTGGGTTGTTGAATTTTTGTTGTTGTAGTTTTGCTTTTTTTTTAATGTAGAAAGATAAATTCTGTTGACTCCACTGAATCACAGTGTCACACTTAGAACCAGATTTGAGCTTCAGTTCCCCTGTAATAGAATATAAGCAGGAACTTTGACGATTTCAATGAGAAGGAAACACAGGCGCAGAGTCCCCCAAATGATGAGATCACGCACTGTATGAGATAACGTCCAGTGGGCTCTGGCCCTAGTTCTGGGTTCTCCAGGGAAGCGGAGTGACTTGGAGGAAAGCAGAGAGTCAGGCATTCAAAAATGTGTTCCCAGTCTGCAAGAGCGAGTCTGTCTGATTGAAAGACAGTGTGGTGACTGCCCTCATCTGTGAAAGGAAAATAAAGTCCCTTGCCCCGGGGCTGATTAATCATTAAGGGTGGCTGTTGAACTCCAGTCTAAGCAGAGAACCAAGAGAGCGTGAACTCTGAACCCTTCAGAGCCACAAGGAAAGAGGTTTTCTTTTTCTTCTTTTCTTTTTTTTTTTTTTTCTTTTTCTTTGGAGACAGGGTTTCTCTGTGTAGCTTTGGAGCCTGTCCTGGAACTTACTCTGTAGAATCAAACTCACTGAGATCCACCTGCCTCTGGCTCCTGAGATCTGGGATTAAAGGCATGCGCCACCACCCAACTCACAAAGAAAGTTAAGATTTATTTCCTAATGTCTTTACCTATCAATATTTTTTGTTGTGACCATAAGAATTATTTCTTTAAACCCTAGTCTATTCCTGAGATCCTTTGCTGGGTTCCATCTCTAGATCTTTCAAGATCTAGGTTTGACATTCGAGACACATGGGAAGATGGTGGGAGGTTTGTATGTTGGTGAGGTACCTTGTGACTCCGCAGTTGGAAGTATCCACTGCAGAGCCCGTAGGTCCAGCCTCTGAGGCGTTCTTTGTAGCTCTGGGGCACCCACATCCTGAGGCTCGGAAGGAAAGGGTGGGGAGCGGGTGGGCTGCGTCATTCGCTATTGGTTGTCTCATTCTTGGGGGAGTGGGCAGGCAGCATCATTTGCTGGTGGGCTGCGTCATTCGCTATTGGTTGTCTCAATCTTCAGGGAGTGGGCGGGCTGTGTCATTCGCTATTGGTTGACTCAATCTTCTGTGCTGCTCTCATGTCCCTTGCAGAAGAGATTCAAAGTCTTTGGTTTGTTTGAACGAGTGATAATTACAGGAAAATTATTTAATAACATAGACCATTACATGTTAAAACTGTGCATTTTCTAATCTTTTAATCTCACTGGCCAGGGTCGTTTTGCTTTCTTCAGCCTTAATTGTAGCATTTAATAATCCCGGGCATTCTTACTTGCCTTGTGGCTGACACAAAATGGCTGACAAAAGCAGCTTAAGAAAGTGTTTGTTCGGGCTTCCGGTTTGATACTGTCCATCATGGCAGGAGAGGGGTGATGGCAAGAACTTCAGGCAATTGTCACATTACAGGCCAGGAAACAGAGAGATAAATAAATGCTGGTACTCAGGGGGCTTTCTCCTTTTCATTTAATCTGTCATTTAGGGTGTGTCCTCATACCTTATTTAATCGATGTAACGAAGCAATCATTCCTCACTGACGCGCCCAGAGGTCCGTTCCCATAGTGACTTTATTTATTACATGTGCGTGCGTGAGCGCCCATACACGCAGAGGGCAACTTGCAAGAGTCAGTTCTGTCCCTCCACCAAGTAACCTTTGCCTCCTGACTCACAATGCTAAATCCTATCAAGATGGTCACAAGATGGGTGGTGGTGGTGCAGGCCTTTAATCCCAGCACTTGAGAGGCAGAGGATCTCTGTGAGTTCAAGGCCAGTCTTGTCTATAAGAGCTAGTTCCAGGACAGGCTCCAAAGCCACAGAGAAATAAAATAAATAAAAAGATGGCCACAGTTAATGGTCATAATCCCTATTCTGGATTCTTTTGGGAAGAAGTTAGGTGTTCCACCTATCTTCCCCTGGGATTTTACAGTTAACAATAGACTAGGCAATTTGTATGATGCCTTTGACATAATACAGAACAAAGTTAAAGCAGCCCCAGGCTGCCAGGACGCTTTCTCAAGTGTTCCTTTACATTTGACCTGCTTTCAGGCTTTCAAACACTACAGGTATCCATACTTTGTCAGCCTGTGGCAGGGCCTCGGGGCAAATCCTTTCTGAGGAAGAGAGGCTGCGTGGAGAGAGCTGCTGGCAGGTTTTCTTATTTAAGCCAGGGGTTGGCAACCGTTATCAGTAAGGGTCCCAGGGGTGAATAGTACTGTCTTTGTGGGTCGACGATCTCTGTTGCCACCATTCAACTGTGCCGCCATGGTGAGAAAGCAGTGTGACAACAGCACATAAGCAAATGAACATGGCTACATTTCAACAAAGCAGGCTTGGCTTGTCCGATGGGTTGTTGTTTTCCACCTCTGTCCCAGGCTCTGGTCTATTAGGATCAATCACTCTCCCATATAATGCTTTCAAAGGTTAGTAAAAACTGTTGATTAAAGTTGGTGGCACACACCTTTAATCCCAGCACAGGGAAAGCAGATGCAGGTGTATCTCTGTGAGTTCAAGGCCAGCCTGGTCTACAAGGCAAGTTTCAGGACAGCTAAGGCTGTTATACAGAGAAGCCCTGTCTTGAAAAACCATACCCACACACAAAAGAAGTTCAGCCCTGATTTTCTTAGTCAAACAGGGAGTTAAAGTTTCTTTAAGGCTATTTTTGTTCTAGTGTTTCCAAAAGGCCACTTCAACATTTAGTGCACCAATATCTGGCACAATTTTGACCGCAGTATCATGTACTTATGAACCATTAGATATAATTTGTGTAAACCATTGCTGTGCAGGTGGGGAAGCAGAGAAAGTCTTGAACCTCCTGCCTGAAAGAAGTAGATGGAGGAGTTTGTAAGATCAGGGACTGAGGAGGGTTGCTATTAAAGTGTGTTTGAGATAGGGACATTTGTCTAAGAATAAACCACAACATAGAGTTGACACACACACACCCCAATAATGTCTTTTATCTTAGTTATACTATGAGTTTGCTTTGCCTGAAAGATATGACAAGGCTCCAAAAAACAAACAAACAAAAACAATCAAGCATAAAGATGAGAAATTGTCTTCTTCTCACAGTTTGGAGTAAACACCTTTTCAAAATGTTGCTCTCCTGCATGGTTATTGGCTGAGAGGTGCTAGGCAGAATACCAACATTCCAAGATGTGGTCAGGGTTGGGGGAATCTCTGAGGAGTAGAATATTAAGGTGGGGGCAGGAAGAATAGAGAGTTAAAATGTGGGGTGGCAGTGAAACTGTACCTCATTTTAGGCCCCAACATATACCAGTGGGCCCAGCAGTCATAAGAAATAGTCACTGTAGAGGAAACAGTAGTCCTCGGTTGTGGGTCAGGCAGGGATCTGACATTTGTCCATAGCTGGGAAGCCAGTTTGCCAGAATCCCTGTCCCAGGACAGTTTCAGGTAAGACTTAGTATGCAGAGGAGCACAAGTAAGATTTGCAAGAAAGAATCCTACGTTTTGAAGATTGTGTGGACTGGACACTGCGGCAGACAGATGCAAATGTCTCTGGTGGGCTCTGGTGGGTTTCTCTCTTTCTCTTGCTTTCACCTCACTTTTTTATTTTTCAGGGCTGAGGCTGCTCTACTCGGCCTCCAGTCCAACATTAGGCACGTGGTGGTGGTTTCTACAGACTTTTTTACAATCTCCCATCTGCGTGTTCCACTCAGCTACCAAGCACACCAGTATGCACCAATTTTTCTGAGGTCTCTGCCTTGTTTAGAAACCCTGCTGTCCCATGAGCTAGCTAAAGACACCATCATTTCTCTAACCTTCTGACTGGTGGAAACTTTCCCAGGCCAGAGCCGCCCATGTTTTGGCCCAGAGAAGCTACACCGTTTGTTTTGATAAATCATCTTTTGGTAGCGGTCCTCTTTTCCTGACTGACCTCTGAACACTCAGCTTTCTAGGGAAGGAAGCTGAGGCTCTGACTCTACTCTACGCTAGGGATGTTTCCATTAGCTGAATGTACAGACCTATCAGGGTTGATCATCCAGGTCAGCTACCCAGACAGAGGATTGGTAAAGAGAGAGCCTAAAGAGGAAAGGAACCACCTCTAGCCAAACTTCTAGTAAAACCAGAGACAGTACAACTTCAGGGGTTAGAGAGATGGCTCAGTAGTTAAATATACTTCCTAATCTTCCAGAGGACCAGAATTCTTCTCCCAGCATGTAAGTTGGGCATCTCACAACTGCCTGTAACTTCAGTTCCAGGGGATCTGACAAATTCATCTGGCAGCCACTGGCACCCACATTTGCCAAGTGGGTGCACACACATACACATAAATAAATAAATAAATAAATAAATAAATAAGATCTGCGAAATAAATGTAAGCTCTACAGATGTAAAAGTGTGATGCCTCCCTTCTAGATGGCCTATGAGCTACGGCTGCTACCCTCTGCTCCCTATGACTGTGGAAATGTGTGCTGGTGAGGAAGAGCCCCCAGATGAAAGCTCCCTGAAGAGCTGAAGTCAGCCACACTGCCTTACTAGCACAGCTTCCAGTCCCTTCCTAGCCTCCCTCCTACACCACCCTAGATGTTCCAAGAACTGCAATTCCTACTTTCTCCCTTCGGTTGAAGGGAGGTAGCCTGTCTCTTGCCAGCCCGGATTCTGTTTTTCTCAAGCTCACACTCACCTTTGTAATCCATCTCTCCTAAACTCTCTTTACCCTGTAGTATTGTTCACGTTTCCAATCAAGAATCTGCCCGACTGAGTATGTTTGCAGAATGTGAGTCTAAGGGCAGAGCAAGCTGGCTAGCGCGTGTACAAAATAATTCATTTAGTAAATGAACATCAGTTTTCAAAGCAGGGTTCTAAGATAATTGCTTAAAACATCACTCATATCACACAAAAGATCATCTACTCAGCACAATGGGGACTCAATGCTTACAGTGATTTTTGTTGTTGTTGATGCTACTGTTGTTTAATATGCTTAAGGGGATCTGTTTGTTTGACTCTAATTAGTATTATTTCTTTAAATATTTCCAAATATTTCATTAGGGATTTATGTTTGGGAGAACTAGTAACAAATACAAACTACAGACTATGGCTGAACCCCATCCATAATTAAGGATTCTACCTACCAGAAAGCCTGAGAATTGGGAAGCTTATTGTTGGGTTACTTTTTCACCTACAGAGAAAGGAAAGATAGAAATAAACACAAAGAAAGCAGAATATCCAAGTTCATAGAGAAAATCGATGTCAGTGGATTGCGATAGATTGCAAGTCCCAGCCTAGCATTTGACTCTGTCTGGGTACAATCTTTTAGTCTACCAATCTGATGGAAGTTAATTACTTCTATATCAGTGATTATACTTTTCTACTATAATTCTTTATGAGCTGCTTTGCCTTCGTTATCCCTTCCTATTTTATTAGTCTTTTAGTTCAATGCCAATTTTTCAATATCCAATACAATGTTGTACTTCCTTCTATCTTTAAGTTTCTGATCACTGGGCAGCAGCGATGAACACCTTTAATCCCAGCACTTGTGAGCAGAGGCAGGTGGATCTCTGTGATTTTCCTATTTTGTGGTTGTTGGGGTTCTGAAGACTTCATGCTTGCATAGTGTCTTAGTGGTCTATTGCTGTGAAGAGATGCCATGACCACAATAACTCTTAAACAGGAAGGAATATTTAATTGGAGTAGTCTACATTTTCAGAGATTTAGTCCATCCATTATCATTGTGGTGCAACAAGGTAGCATGCAGGCAGACAGGGTGCTGGAAAAGGAGCTGAAAGTCCTTACATCTTGACTTGCAAGCAAAAGAAATAGCCTAAGACATTGGGTGTGGCCTGGGTGTATATGGGACCTCAAAGAAAGCCTCTACAGTGAGATACTTCCTTCAACAAGATCACACCTACTCCGACAAGACCACACCTCTTAATAGTGCCACTCCCTTTGGGGACCATTTTCTTTCAAACTACCTCAC